CCCCCCCCCCCCCCCGCTCATTTACTGTAATAAGTACTAGAGTTGAGAAGCACTTTTAAAAACCCATTTAATTTAGCTCCTGGAACCAGGCAGGAAGCTACGTATCCTAAACACATTACTGCCCAGTCAAAATTAGAGCTCAGTTTGCAAGGAGAAAGAGAAAATATGATTTTTAGGTACTGTTGAATATTAGCTATTCCACAGCCCAACTCCTCATGGTGGAGATAGAGGCTCTGAGACTCAGAGAGCGGAGAACGGCCACAGCCAGGTAATAGCAGGTTTCCTTAACCCTAGGCAGGTGGGCCTTCCACTAGGAAGCTTTTTCTACACGGTGGAAGGAGAACCAAATGCAGGAATAGTCATTTGGCCCTGGTGAGGAGCTTACCTCCAAAGGCCTGTCTCCAGACTGTTCCTAACCTTGGGCTCCTAGACAGCTCCCTCTGGGAAGAGAGAGGTATCTGTCTCCCCAGGGAAGCACTATTGACTGACACATGGCCAGAGGGAGCGAGTGGTGCAGGCTGGGGGTGGGAGGGAGACTACTCTTGCTGTCAGGACAAAGTATGTTAAGTCTCTCAGCAGAGTTTCAGTTACATCAAGTGGTGCATGGAAGTGGGTCCAAACCAGTCCACAAGGGTCAACTGTGTACAACTTGTCCCAACTCCCCTCGTTGGCCATTTGAAACTTATGGTGGCAGTATTTATACCACGAAAATGAGCAGACGCTAAAACAAAAAGCTTTTCTTCCTCTTCTCCTCCTGCTTCTTTTTAAAGAGAATTAGTAGCTATGCATTTGCCAGCACATCATCGGGCATTGACTGATGCCATCTGTAATGCTTCAGGGTTTGAGAGACAGTAACTTTGTGGGGAAGAGGACAGAGCTGGGGGGCTGGATCTGGTGGCACTGGGACGGGCACCAGGTGTGCCCTCAGGGATGACCACAAACACCTGTGAGGAATGGGAGGACAGTGCTGGAGTGTGGCTCAGCTCATCAGCAGTTGGTGACTCACAGCCTAAAAGTACCTCAGAAGTGGGGAGCCAGAGCTGATTGTAGTATTTCTGTTTCCCATCCTTTTGAAAATCCAACCACCTAGAGGTGCCTGGAACATCAAGTCTAGTAAAAATGATGGCTAGAAAGTGACAGGCTCAAGCCTCAATATGAGTGACCATGGTCAGGCTCCTCCCCTGCCTGTGCCTAGGTCTCCCAGGCTGTCAAACGGTTGCGCCGTGCTGTCAAGTCCAACTTGTGAAACTTTCATCACATGTGACCTGAGGGAAGCCTAGTCAGCTGGGCCCCTATTGGATCTTGGCATTCAAGTAAACATTTTGCTAACATAACAAAGGCTAAAAAGACTTGTTTTTATTGGAGTTTTTCAATCGATTTCTAAAGGGGTTGGGGGCACAAAGTCACAAATTGGTTAAAATTCTCTTTCTCCATCCATGTCAACATTGTGTCAGTGTTCTTAGCAAAAGCCCACTAATGTTCCCTCTCCGTCTTCTCTCCCAATTGCTTGCCCTGCCCTTTAAGTATCCATCTCTAGGGCAAATGGGATGCACTGGGACTCAATAGCCAAGCTACCCTTCTCAACAATTTGGAATGGAGGGGAGTGGAATGGAATAGTATAGAGTTGTTGTTGTTGTTAGATGCCATCGAATTGGCACTGACTCACAGTGACTCTGTGTACAACAGAACGAAACACTGCCCGGTCCTGGGCAGACCTCACAATCACTGCTATGCTTGAATCCATTGTTGTGGCCACTATGTTAATCCATCTCACTGGGGGTCTTCCTCTTTTTCTCCAAACCTCCACTTTACCAAGCATGATGTCCTTCTCCAGGGACTGGTCCCTCCTGACAATATGTCCGAAGTACAAGAGATGAAGTCTGGCCATCCTGGCCTCCAAGGAGCATCTGGCTGTACATCTTTTAACACAGATCTATTGGTTCTTTTCTGGCCAGAATTTGGAGGGGGACAGAGACAGCAGAAGAGGAAGAAGGAGTGTGGTCCAGGGGACTCCATATCCCCCTCTTCTCCTACTCACCATCTCAAGAGAGGTGGGACCTGTGAGAAGGGAAAGAACGTCACAAGGAGAGTGGGGCAGGCAGAATCATGCCACCTTACCAATAATATGGAGCCCAGGTGTGGTGCTGAGGGTTAATGTGCTGGACTGCAAGGTCATTTTGAACCACAAGATTGGCAATTCAATCTCACCAGCCGCTCCTTGGAAACCCTATACAGGGTTGCTGTAAGTAGATACAGACTCGATGACACTTAACAACAACCAATGATATTGCATGGGACGTACTTACACTAAACAATGTTTTACTTTTGTTATTTACTTGTTATTTTGTTATTTAGTATCATTGCTGTTGTTAGGCACTTTTGGCTAGCTCCCACCCACTGCAGCCTATAACAGAACACATCCTCGCATTAGTTGCATGTTTAAATCCATCGTTGCAGCCACAGTGTCAGTTTATTTCATTGAATGTCTTCCTCTTTTTCACGGACCCTCTCTACTTTACCAAGCATGACGTCCTTCTCCAGGGACAACTCCCTCCCGATTATACGTCCCAAGTATGTGAGACAAAGTCTCACCACCGTTGCTTCTAGGTACACCATCCTGACTGTACTTTCCCCAAGACAGATTTGTTTATTGTCATTTATTTATTGAAAATTTGTGTGAACTCTGGAGGCCCTAGATGTAAAGACCCTAGAGGAATTGGGCATAAGATCTAATTAAGGATTTAATAAGTATCTTTATTTATAAAATCAAGAAAATTTCCATTGCTGTACTTTCTATAAATAAGTTCAAAGAGGAGTCAGAGGCATATAACTAAGGCCCAGGAGCACTTCAGCAAACTAATTGAGTCATTAAAGCAATTCACGGAGTTGAGAGCCTGGACAACGTGCCAAACTGGTCTGGAGGAATTCTCAGCTGTCTCTGCAATCCGTCCATTACTCTTCTGCATAGTCTGGTACTGTTTACCAAGGACTTCCATGCCCAATGTCCCATTCCACCATTACTATATTGTTTATTCATTGTTTCCGCAGTCATTATGCAGATGTGGAAACTGAGAGGTGAAGGACCTACCCAAGGTCACACAGCAGAGGGGCCCGGATGAAAAATCAGGGATGTGCAAATCCACAGCTCGTTCCCTCTGCCCCCTGCTCTCTGTCCTTACAAGTGCTCAGCATACAGCCATCTGGTGTCCCATGCCGGGTGTTGGGGCACGAAGATGTCCTCAAGGACGGCTGCTGGCGGTGGCGCCTGTCATACCTTCGCTGGAGTCGGGCGTGAAGGTGGCAGATCCTCTTGGTCTCCTGGGTTGTGAAGAAGGATGCAGCGATGGTGTGCCGCAGGCGGCGGGCATAGGTCTCCAGGAGGATGGTGGCACAAGCTGTGAGCTGCAGGGCCCCCGCGGCCAGGGAGGCGGCCACACGGGGGCGCTGCGCGGGAAGCAGCGGGCAGCCGGGAGAGGTGAAGCGCAGCTCCCATTGGTTGGAGATCCGAGTGGAGAAGAAAGGTCTCTCTGGAGACGGCTGGTTGAAGAGGAAGGGAATGAAGTCCAGGATGCTGTATGCCGACTTCAGAAAGGAGGGAAAAAAGTCCGTATCATCAAGAGAGTCTCCTCCCACCGTTCCTGGACACTTTTAAGGCTGGATGAGTCCAATTTTCCCTGACCTCATCTGCAAGATGAGCACAGAAATAAACCCTTCCCATTGGGACTTGTGGAGGAGCCAATGAGGTTGGGAGCCTGCTATGATTTTTATGATTACCGATTCCTTGTGCGGAACTGTAGGGTCAGCACTACACTGTGAACCACAAGGTCTGCAGTTCGGACCCACCAGCTACTCCTCGGAAACCCTATACAAGATCCCTATGAATTGGAACCGACTGTGTGACACTTAGCAGCAACATTTCCTAGCAGACTATTTTAGAGACAAAAAATGGAATGCTTGTGGGTAGTTTCCACGCGAATCACCACCACAACCACCAGTTCATTGACTAAACACAATTCTGTGAAGTCGAGTCCGACATGATCTTCTCTGAAGTACCCTGTATCACACAATAGGTCACATGTGGCAGACCCAGGGGTCAGTCCCAGCCACCTGGTCCCCAAATCCTGCTCATGAGCCTGATGTGCTACGGTTTCACAGGATGTGTCTGAGGAAGGGGCCTCTGGGTGGCACAAGTGGTTAAGTGTGTGAGTCCTATCAGAAAGATGGGTGCCTCGAAACCTACCTAGAGGTGCCTCAGGGGAAAACTTGGGGTTCTGCTTCCCAAAGGTTCCCCTGGCCACCTACTCTTGTTGAGCCGGTTTTAAACGCACAGTGACCCTCTAGGATAGAGGAGAACTGCTTCATAGGCTTTCAAAGGCTATAAATCTTTACAGAAGCAGACTAACCCGCCTTTCTCCTGTGGAGTGGCTGGTGGGTTAGCAACCGAGCGCTTCAATCACTGTGCCACGAGGTTTCCAGAAGGTGGTTGTTGCTGTTGTTAAGTGCCATCAAATTGGTTCCAATCCATAGTGACCCAGTATAGTGTTTCCAAAAAGTGACTGGTGAGTTTGAACCACCGACCCTGTGGTTCAAAGTGACCTTTCAGTCCTGCGCTTATCCTACAGCACCACACCTGGACTCCTTCCAAAAGGCTGGCTTTGAAAGCCCTCTAGTCTAGAGTGCTCTTGTAATCTGACACAGTGGGGTCAGTTCTGACTCATGGTACTCCTTCATATGTGTGTATCAGAGTAGAACTGAGCTCCACATGGTTTTCTTTCTTTTTTTTTTTTTTTTTGAAATTTAAGAACTTTATTTAAGATTATCAGTAAAATGTGGTTTTAATTGTGGAGAGTTAATTGAGCATTTGGGAGAAATCCAAAGGTTTTCTTTAGTTTCAAGCATGGGTGAGAAAGAGCCTCGGTCGCTCAGCGACTAATCACTAATTGATTAACTGAAAGGTCAGTGGTTTGAGATCCCTCAGTGGTGTCTCAGGAGAAGTCCTGTTGGTCTGCTTCCATAAAAGTTAGAATCTAGGAAGTTGCACAGGACAGTTCTACTCCATCACATGGGAACACTGTAATCAACTAGATGACGGTGGGGCTAACGGCCAGGGTAACTACAGGGTAACTTGATAAGAAACAGCGAAAAGTTTTCCAAAGTACCATTGTGTGATCATTTTATATATATATATTCACACCGGTGATGTTTAAGAGGTCCTGTTTTCTGTGTCATTGTCAGTAGTTGGCACTGTCGTTCTTTTAAATGTTCACATGTCTGTAATATCTCATCATGGCTTTAATTTGCATTTCCTTTTATATGTATTCTTTAGCCATGTGAATATTCAAGTTTAGTAAGTTTTAATTGTTATTACAATTTAATACTAAATACACATAATAGTATATAATTATTCTGGATTCATGTTTTCTTCCATATATATATCTTGCAAATATTTCCTCCCAGTTTTAATTTTAATTTTGGAGCTTTATTTATGTTTGCTTAAAGAAGCTTGATAGTTACTCAAACTAGAGCAATCCAAATATGTTTCAAAGAATGAATTTTAAAACGCCAAACAAAATTGTGGTATATTCATACAAGGGTACTACTCAGTCATAAAAATCCACACGGTTTTCAATGGCTAGTTTTTCAGAAGTAGATCACTAGACCTTTCTTCCAATGCACCTCTGGGTGGACGCAAACTATAAATCTTTCTTTTAGCAGTGAGCATGTTAACCTAAACAAACCAAACACACCCATACACAAGACAAACCTACTGCACTGAGTTAATTCCAACTCACACAGACACCTCGCCTGTCCCAGGACCATAGAGGGAGGCAAGTGACAATCAGTTGAATGGAGGGGAAAGGACTTTTCATCATGATACTTACATCATACTTGACGGTGAGAGTGATCGGCACACTGGACAGCTGCTGAGCCCAGTCCACTGCCGCATGGGCTAGGAGGAAGGTCACATGGTCTGTGGCCACCATCACTGCTGTGGCTGCCAAAAGCAGAGTCAGCAGCCCCAGCCGGAGGAGAAACCTCAGCAGCTCCTCCTGGGACAGCCTGGGTCGGGCCGCCCGAAGCAGCCAGGCTGGTGGGGAGGCCATCAGGTGTGTGGCCTGGGCTTTTGCCAGCCTCCTAGTCAGCTGCCGTGTGGCGTAGATATTGTCAAACCGCAGGTCAGTCAGGTAGCGATGAAGGTACCAGGCGGACTCCCCCAAAAGGCCCAGTACAAAGACCCCTGCGACCACCCTCTGAGCCCCCAGGGCTGCTGCCTGGGCCAGGGTCTCCAGGTCAGAGAAGTCCTCTAGGACCTGTTCAGTGACCCTGAGCATGTGAAGCCGAAAGGCAGAGCCGTTGCCCTGGGTCTCAAATGTCAGGCTTCTGCCATTCACCAGGCCCACGGGGTGCAGAGCCCTGGACGCTGCGTGCAGCTGGTGGGTGGTGTTGAGCAGACTCTCCAGGGAGCCCTCGGTAACACAGCGCAGCACCCTCCCAGCAGCTCTCACGTTGGACAAGACATTGGGCACCACCGTGATGGCCAGGGTGGCAGCACTATAAGACAGGAGCAGCCGGCGGCCCTGCTTTGTGCCCAAGGTGGGTACACTGAGTGCAAACAGGCAGCGAGCCGGGGGCACCAAGCCCAGGCCCAGGAACATCAGGAGACCACAGATAGCAGCTACCGTGGTGGCTGAGGGTCCCAGAGGATAACGCAGCGAGGACACCAACCAGTGATGGGTCAGACCTGTGGTCGCTGCAGCCAGGGAGCCACACAGGAAGAGCTGGGTCAGCAGCTGGCCACAGCTGGCTGGGACAGGTTGGGAGAAGTCATTCCAAGCAGCCTGCAGTGAGACCAGGGCCCTGCAGAGCCCCACCTGCCAGGATCTCCATCTGCACACAAGGAAATTGGGGGGAACCTCTGTCAGGAGGATGAGGACCTGCCCAATGCCCCTGCCCCCAAACCCTCCACCTGTGAACAGAAGCAAGCCATTTCCCAAGTGTGCCAATCAGAGTAACCCACCCCACAGGCCACATGACACAAGTGGAACCAATCAGAGCTTCACCAGGGAAAGGCTCCCAAGGAAGGAGATGAGCTACATGAGAATGGGGGTCACTTCCAGAAGCACAGATGAGAGAGATTGAGAGAGAGAGGGAGGGAGAAAGGGAAGGAAAAAGAGAAAGAAAGCCAGCGAAGGTTACTCTTGAAGTCATCTCTCATTTGGCTTGCTGTGTGACCCTGGGCATTACCTTCTCTAGGAATCTGTTTCTCCTCTGTAATTGAGGTAGAACAGCTGACTTCTGAAAGACTTTCCTACTCTAATTAACAAAGGGTTCTAGCTGCTACTTTTTTTTTTTTTTAAAATAAGTTTTTATTGTGAATTGAGTGATAGTTTACATGGGAGAGCATCGGGTTTACACTCATAGTTTCATTGCAATGATTGCAATCTCCTCCGTGCATCATCATTCAACAGTATTTGCTTCCATTCCCTCTTGAGGTGGTTTTTAAAAAATTTTTTTATGTGCACAAAAACAGTCAGGAATATAAACATTTAAACAACCAAAGAGTACATTCTGCAAGCCTGCCTCCTGGCCGCCAGCTCTCAGTCCCTCTCTTTCCATGAGTCTAGAGTCCTCAGCTGCTCTCTCTCTCCATGTCCTCATCTCTGCCTCCATCTCTAGTGTCACTGTTTCTCTCGATAGGGTCACACATTCTGCTCATGCTCTTCTCCCTTGATAGTCCTAGAGTCCTCTGTTTCTGGACTGTAAGATTAACTACTCTCCCATTTTTATTAGAAAACCTTCTACCTTTAGAGTTGTGATAGTCACAATTAGTCATGATAACAATTACTCACTATTGAATCAAAAGAATCTTATCTCCATCTCTTTTCATCAGACCTGTCTAGAGAAGATGAATACTATTCAGTGGGGATTCTACCTTCCCCTGCACACTCTGAAACTAAACTCCCTCTTGAAAACCTGTAAGCCATGTCTTTATAGCCCTCCCATTTTAAGTAGCCATTCTCTAAGTTTTCTGTCCTTATCAACCCTGTATACAGAGGGGATAGGATTGATACTTGATGTGAAGACTCCTCTCTCAGTTGATATTTTGAGCTACTGCATCCATAAATATAGGTCAAGTTCATCAAATTGTAACAATTCATACTTGTTTCCTTTATCAAAAAATAGCTTTTTAAAATCTTCCTCCAGTCGATTTCTGATCATCAAGCCATGGACGCTAGGTCAAATGGATACTATATACAAGTTTGGATGTTCTTGTGCGTCTCCACTCCCTTCATACCAACTGGACACTTCACTCTCAGCTCTAGCCTTCCATGGCTATGTCCTTGTCCATGGGCTCAGGAATCCCCAGGTCTCACTACACTTCAGACCAACCAGCCCTTCCTCTTCTCCTTCTCATCTCCAGGTCAATGGGAGTCTACGGAACATAGTCAAACTCAGCCCATATCTTCATTGCTACCTTTCCCCCTCTTCCACTCACCAGGCAACCAATGTGGTCACCAGCAAGCTTACAGGCCTGCTCATGTGTTCCCTTTGAGTTTCAGTCTTGAGGGGCGCTTGTCATGAAGTGACTTGATTGCTTGCCTTGATGGTTCCCCAGCAAACAACTTGCTTGTTCTTGTATTAGCCAATCAGACTCTAGGTAATACCTTTATATTTATTATATTCATTCAACAAATATTTATTAAGCAACTGCTATGTGATGGCCACCAAGGAAATAAGAGTAAATAAAACAGACAAAAATTCCTGCCTTTAGCGACACCAGAGATGGAGGCAGAGATGGGGACATGGAGAGAGGGAGCAGCTGAGGACTCTAGATTCATGGGAAGAGAGGGACTAAGAGCTGGCGGCCAGGAGGCAGACTTGCAGACGGTGCTCTTTGGTGGTGTAAATTATTATATATGCCTGAGTGTTAAAAAAAAAAAAAAAAGAGAGAGAGAGCTAAAATGTTATCTGATGGTACATGGTAGGGATTATAACTATTGTAATGAAACAAGGTGTATGATTTGTTGAATGTAAAACTGATGATCTGCCCTGTGAACTTTCACTCAATTCACAATAAAAACTTAAAAAAAAAAAAATAAATAAAGCACAGGTAAACATTCACACACAAAAAATTCCTCCTGTCACTGTTGTTGTTGTTGTTGTTAAGTGCCGTTGAGTCGGTTCCGACCCATAGCGACCCTGTACAGGGTTTCCGAGGGTGTAAATCCTTACGGGAGTAGAAAGCCTCATCTTTCTCCCGCGGAGCAGCTGGTAGTTTTGAACTGCTCACCTTATGGTTCGCAGCCCGATTCGTAACCACTACGCTACCAGAGCTCCTTTCCTGTCACTGTTGTTGTTGTTAAGTGCCGTCGAGTCGGTTCCGACCCATAGCGACCCTGTACAGGGTTTCCAAGGGTATAAATTCCTGTCACTGTAGTTGTTGTTAAATGCCTCTGAGTCGATTCTGACTCATGTGATTCTGTATAGCGTTTCTGAGGATCAATTGATGGGTTTGAAACTCTGACTTTGTGGTTAGCAGTTCAGTGTTTATCTGATACTTGTTGCCACAGCAGGATTCTCCTGCCCTCGTAGAGCTTACCAAAATCAATCAATACATAATTACCCCAAACTAAACCCCAGTTATTTGTTGTTGTGATTACTTTTCAGTGGGTTCCAGCTCACAGCGTTGTTGTCTAGTGTTTCCGAGGAGTAGCTGATGGGTTTGAACTGCCTACTTTGTGGTTCAAACTGATCTTGTGGGCCAGTGCTTATCCTACAGAGCCACAGCAGGACTCCACTGCTGTTTTATAAATTCCTACTTAGAGCAATCCTATGGGATAGAGTAGAGCTGCCTCATAGAGTTTCTTTGGCTGTAGTCTTTGTAGCGCTGTGGGTTAATGCGCCACACTGCAAAGCTGTTTGAATTGCAAAGTCAGCGGTTGAAGCTCAGCAACAACTCCTCAGAAACCTTATACAGGGTTGCTATGGGTCGGAACCGACTCGACGGCACTTCACAACAACAACAACAGTCTTTATAGAAGCAGATGACCACATCTTTCTCCTTAGGAGCAGTTGGTGGGTTTGAACTGCTGGTGTTTCGGCTCTGTACTTTAACCACTGTGCCACCAGGGCTCCCTCATAGAGCTTACACTAAAGAGCAATAGCAGAAGAGCTTATAAGAGGTTGGCTTTGTAGACAGATTGGTTTGGGGTGTGAGACAAAGGCAGGGGTTGATGGTGACAGTGAGGAAGTGGGAGGCCCCGGGCACCATTTCCTGAGATCCGAAGTCTGAGGGTGGAGTTGGTGTGAGTGGAGAACAGAGAAGAGGAATTCAGATTGGAACTCCTAAATGTGAGATGCTTATTTAGTCATTGTAAATAGAGCCTTTATGATACTGTTGATTAAACATTGGGCTGCTGACCACAAGGTTGGCTGTTCAAAACCATCAGCCACTCACTCTCAGGGAGAACGAGGTGGTTGTCCACCCATGAAAAGATTTACCGTCTTGGAAGCCCTGAGTAGGGTTGTTATGAGTCAGAATGTCTACTTACTTAGCCATTCAGAGAGCTGTGGAGTCTGAGATTGGAAAAACAAGTGTGAAATTCAGCAGAAAAGTCAGGATGGAGATATAAATTTGAAGGCCTCTCCCAGGATCTGGCAGTGTTTGTTCTGCTGTGCGTAAGGTCGCTATGAGTCGGTACCAACTCGATGGCACCTCACAACAACACAAAGGCTCAGTGCAAGATGAGATTCTTTGAATGGAAGAAAGCTATCCAAGGATTGAGCCTGGGACACTTCATTGGGAAGGACACTTCATTGGCAAGGAGACAGAAGCCAGGCAATGTGTTCTTGGGAAGTCAAGTCAATAAAATGCTTCAAGAAGGAGTGAGTGATCAAATGCATTAAAAGCTATTGATGGGTCAGGTGAGATGAGCAGCGACCATTGGAATTAGCCATGTAGAGATCACTGGTAACCTTGGCAAGGGCAGATTGGGTGGCATGTTGGGCAAAAGTTTGACCCTAGTGGGGCCAGGAGAGATGGAGAGATGAAGAAGAGACATAAGTATAGACAACACCCCTGAGAATCTTTTTCCATAAAGGAGTAGATACATCGAGTGGTACCTGGAAGAGGAAAGGGGCCAAGAGAGTTCATTCCGGGTGGGAGAAATTACAGATGTTTGTAGGTGGGGAATCCAATTGAGAGAGGAGACACTGATGATGGGGGAGGGGGGGTCTGGATAGAACGATAGCCTATGGTGGGTGGCAGAAAATGAGACTAAGAGCATGAATGAAGGGATAGGTCTCAGCCAGGAAATGCTGTTGTTGTTAGTGCCACTGACTCATAGCGACCATTTATGGGGTTTCCTAAGAGGGGCTGGCTGGTGAGTTTGAACCACTGACCTTGTGATTCACACTGACCTTGTGGTCCAGTGTTTATCCCACAGTGCCACACCAGGTAAGGAATTGTTGTTAGTTGTTGTTAAGTGCTGTCAAATTGGTTTCGACTCATAGCAACCCTGCATAATGATGTTTGTATATGATGAACAAAATGAACATTTCTGAATTGTACAGATGTACATTGTAAAAATGTTGAAATGCATCATTTTTTAAAAGAGTGGAAAAACTAATGAACAACTTTCTATGAAAAGAAAAGAGACCCCAGATAAGCAAAGAACTACTAGAGAAGAAGAACAAAGTAAGAGGCCTCTCACTTCCTGATCTCGAAACCAACTACACACCCATGGCAGTCAAAACAGCTGGGTACAGTTTTTTGTTTTTGTTTTTAACACAGTAATTCTTATAGGAATTTTATTATATAAGTACACACACAATATATTTGAAGAAAACAAAAATTGTCAATTTTATGAGAGATGTTTTACTCTCTA